GGAGAGAAGGAGAGAAGGAGAGAAGGAGAGAAGGAGAGAAGGAGAGAGAGAGAGAGAGGCGGGGAGGGAGGGAGAGAGGGAGGGAGGGAGGAGGAAGAAGAACTGTCACCGGCCCCTTTCAGTGCCACCGCTCTGCGGGCTGAGTTTTTGGAGTTGGAGTACGATGAGATGCCGCGCGACGAGTTCGGCGTGCCGGCGCACATCCCGCCGGAGATCTCCACCACGATCCGTCACACCTACTACATCCCGCCCCAGTACTACCCCTTCCTGAAGAAGCTGGGCGATGACACCCCTGAGTTGAAGCCCTGGATGGACAAGTTGATGAACGGGGAGATGACCTTCGATGATTATGAGGAGAGTTCGGTAGGTGGTTCTCAGTGTGTTAACATGTCTCCACAGGCTTTTCACAGCTCAAGCGCCTTATGCCACGAATTGTGGTTAGCATTTTCCAGAACTCTGTTGCGAGGAGATGTTCTACCAGTTCGCCAAGCCCTTGAAGATCCATCGGCCCCTCATTCCAATGCCCTACCGTTCGGCCGAGGAGATGAAGAAGAGCGAGGACCGTCGGAGCAATCTGTTCAAACATCGGACGATGGACCGTCGGCAGTGACTTGGGGAGCGGTTGAGGGAGTCTCGTTTGAACCAGAGCTCCTTAGAATTGGATGAACTCGTTTGGCTGATCCCTTTAGTCGGTGGGTAGTGTGGGTACCTAGTACAATGGGTGTGGCACGCACATTTTCTGGATGGCCGTGGCTTCCTTGGTTCTCTCGTTATTTCGGGCTCGTCATCGGTGCTGAAGGTCGTACCATAAGATGGTCGTGTTGGGCACAGCTCTAACCCTTGCAGGAAGTGGCGTGGGAAGGCGCCTGGCTATCCTTCCGCCAGCGTGTCTTGGGAGACTACACTTCCAGGCTGGGAAACAATGATGAAACTAGTAACCAGAAGCTACTAGTAACAAAGGGCATCTCTACTAGGAGCAAGAAGCTACTAGTATATAGCTCCTGGCATTACTACTAGGCACAAGAAGCTACTAGTAGTGTCTCCACAGAAGTGGTGCACACTGGATGAATTCGACCCTACTCGCTGCTGGCGAGTCATTGGTAAATTTGGTACACGGCTTTCAGGAGTCACTTCCCAACTGAACACCTGCATGTAAATTTTCCAAACCCCAATCAGTAAAACACATTCATTGCGTTCCTACACTTCTGGTAGGTGATTTTTGTGCTTGGCCAGCGGCATGCTCCCAGGCACTACTTCCGCGACTTCGTTGGTGGCATGGGTGTTGGAATCTTTCTGGCCTGGATCTATGTGCAGGTGCAGGGAGCAGAATTCTATCGATCCGACCCTTGCACCCATGGTCCATGGTGGTAAAATGGGTCTATAATTAAGTGCGAGTTCTGGGCTGCTCTTGATTGCATCATTAGGTGGGGAAATGCACAATCATATAGAATTTACAAGGATTCAATCTGAATCCATGCAGGCGCATCGCCAGTACCGCATTGACATGAAGCTCTTCTATTTGGAGGCTCCTGAGCTATTCTTTGCAGTGGAAGCAGTTCCAAGACGAGTTAAATGTTGGGCCCGGGATTGGGACGGACTTTAGGTCCCTGGAAGGGGCCACTCACGGATATATCATCGGTCAGATGTTTCTGATGCATTTATTCTATGTATGCATGCAATGACCGGCACATGTTCCAGAGCCCACAACGAATTCTTTCAGCTGCGCAGCATACCCGCACAGTTGGGACCTAGTGACCCCCTCTTTTTGAATTGCACTTATACAGGGTTGAGTTTTCAAAGGCCTTGCATATATGTGAAAGACATGCATGAGAACCAAATGAGAGATCTTGCGAGTTTGAACAGCTCACCTACTTTCTGTTCTCATGCATGAGAACCCCTAGAATATCGACGGTGATGTTAGAGCAGACGGCACAACACCCTAGACCATTTGCAGAACAGAATGGGATCCATCTAAATTTCTTGGGTGAGAGTTGGCAGAGGGCCGCTACCGTAGCAGCCCACCAACCCTTCAACTGTTCATCATGAAGCTTTCGAAGCCTTCCCTAGCCCTACACAATTGATGTGAACAGTTGTCCAATCATTTCGGAGCCCCTGCGCCCAGGCGCCGGAACACAAGATCAATTGGGTCACCCCTCGTGGTGATCTCTGAGCGAAGAAAGACCTGACATCGCCCGACCCCGTCCCGACCCCGTCCGCTTCAGCATCATCAGCCTTTCCAAGACGGTCCACAAACAGTTTATTTTAGTATATTATATATAATATATAATATATATAATATTACGTCTATATATTAGTGTATATATTAGGTTGGAGGCCATCGCTCTGAGGTTGGAGGCCATCGCTATTAGTTTATATTAGTATATAATACTAAGTTTGTGGGTGCTAACCTTCCATCACGAAAGGCTTTTCTCAGGAGAAGGGCGTGTTCCGATGATGAGGAACAGGTGATGTAGATCGATCCCAGGTTCACCCAGAATCAATATCTAGATTCTAGATGGATCGGACGGACAAGGGTGGCTGGTCGTTTTGTGGATGCCCGACTTCTGCTGGGGTGGCCGTTCTTAAGTTGACAAGTGGACTTGCATGGAGAGTGCCCTTACATCTGGTTTTGGAGAACAAGACTGGCCGTCGAAGCGGCAACGCAGACGGCACCCTTGCCGGGCAGACGAGGCCACGAGGTTGAGGTCTCATGTTGGAGTGGGACCATGGATCGGAGATGTGGCGGATGGAAGAAATCCGGTTGGAAGCATGATGCAACCTCCACCAGCAAAACCATGCAAAACACCGATGTGTTTGAGGTCCTCGATTTCCGGTCCTGTCGGGTTTCTTCCTTCGAGTAGCAATGATTTGGATCCTTTGCACATTTCCGGCAGAGCAAAGAAAAATCTGCGCCCACAGCTGTTCCTGGGCGCCTTGCTTTGTTTGCCCCGGCGGCCTCGGGGTGTTTGACCCACCCACCGCGACCTCGGGGGCCTCGGCGGCCTTGGCGCTTGGCCGCGCCAAGAGCGCCCCAGGCCCTCCTATCGATCCTCGGGCTCTCGATCTTTGGCAGACTTGCCGACGGCGGCCGCGGCGGCCACTGGTGCATCGGTGGCCCCGGCATAGACTGAGAGACTGAGACTGAAGTGACTAATTGCAGCCTGCACCCCAAAAGGAACGGCAGGTGTGAACATCCTGAGTAGTAAAAACCATAGTAAACCATACTGCTCTTGATTGTGGTGTTCAGTGCTCATTGTACTTCCAGTTCTTGAAACACCCTCAGAATATCCCTCACGTGGGTGGAGCATGAAAAGTTGTGGCACAACGACCTGTGTTGTGAACCCGCTCCGTTGAGCCCATCCCCAACGTGAGTTTTGGCCAGGAGAAGTGGAAGGGTGAACAATTTGATGATTTTGGCCTTGCCGGCATGTGAGAACTCGGCAAGATTGCAGCTGGAACCCCCAGCTGAGCCTTTCCAGTGACCTGAAGGGCTACTGGATGGGCCAATTGTCCCGCCGGAATCCTGGGAATTCCTCGGTCAGCACGGCCGACTGCGGCTTGTGCTGACCTGCTGGCAAAGGCCCCAAAGGGGCATCCGACGTCAGCGTCCGAGGCCGATCACGCGTCCCAAAGTCCGACCGAGACGCGAGCGGGCTGTGATCGTGTGTGATGCGCAGTAGGTCAGGGTGATCGGGGTGTGAGCATGAATCGTGCCAGCAATATGAGAGCACCAATCACATGCGTCTTTTTGACAGTTCTCCATATTTTACATTGATATTCCTCGCAGTTTGGCATTCTCCAGGTCGTCTTCAGGCATCTACTCATAGTGGAAGTCGCATCCACCAGTGGCGAGTATGTAAAATAGCTTGGGGGAGCTTAGGGGGCTTTGCTGTTTGTTTGAACTTTGTGTGCAACATCCAATATAAACCCCCGGTGCCTGGTGCCATGATTATTATTCCTTCTTTTTTATTCGATTCTTGGCCAGTGCCCGAGGTCCTTGGATCTCATGAACGCCGCTGCGACATGCTCAAGATACAATCAAAAGAGATCAAATGAGGACAACAAGATTGCAAATGGAGCGCATGGGCCATATGGATGTTATATGGATTTATAATATATATATATTATTCTTTTCTTTTCGTGTGGCATCTCCTAGAGCAATACAGGCAATGGCAAACAGCCCGCCCGTGGTGATGTGGCCCAAATGGGAGGGCCGGCAGCAGGATGTTGAAGGATGTTGAAGGTCCCCTTCGACAAAGGCAACCCTGGGCCTTGGTCAAGCTGTTTTGGGCGTGAGCTTGACGGGTAGCAGTGCCATGACCCACATCAAAAGATCATTTTGGAAGACTCCGATCTCCATGCAAACACTACCATCTTGCAGACAACAAGACACGATAAGACGTGTTTGTCCAAAATGTCATCGTCAGGTCAGGGGGTCGCGGTTCGGGCTCAACATCCTGAGCATCTGGTGCCAAGTTGCATGGTGACCCCCCAAAGGAACCCCTGACGGTCGCCAGTTCTTCCATTCCTTTTTTGCAGTTGCACTTGGGTGACACCCCGCACGTGGGGCCTGGTAGATTCGAGGCAAAGGGAACCTTTGGGGCTGACTCTGCAAACGCCTTAGGTGAACCTTACGGGGAATCTGTGGCTTACCAGCGACTTGGCTTTTGATGATCCCGCAGGCGCATCATGAGCAACACCTTTTAGTTCTGGGGCACATACAGTAAGTGCTTTTGAATATTTTTGAATATTGATGCTACGTAAGTCAAGTGCCTTGGGACTCTTTCAGTGTACAGTAGGAAACTTGATCCAAAGGTCTCTTTCCATCTCTTTCCCGCGCTTTGGATCAGTGACACTTCGTTGCAGTTTGGGCCCATGCCTTTTTCTTTATTGAGACCCTGTGAACTGGCTTCTCCAATCCACCAAAGACGTGTTTTTTCCTTTGCGCTTCCTTTGTCCAGTGCGTTTGACCGTGCAGCGGACAGAAAGCGGGTCTTCTCTTTGGCATGTGACTGGTTGATAACGTCGCTGAGGCCCCTCGCTTTTCCCGACGAAAGTTGGATGCGTCGGTTTCGGGTTTCTTCGGTGTCCTTCCCAGCCGAAGCAGCCCGACGATTTGCCGGTGATTTTGCCACCAAAGGTGAGGCCCAATCACTCCTTCATGCACCCATGTTGGATTTGCATCTTATGTAGAGTTTGGCTAGAATGCTAGAACGTTCCGACCCTTACATATTGTGGTTCCTGGGTTTGTGTCCTTTTCATTCAGTTTGCAAGCCGGTTGCCCTTAGGGCCGGTGCGTCCACTCTGCTGGGTCTGGCGCGTTCCTGCTAGCCTCGCAGAGCTTTGGTGATCTTTGGTGTAAGCTGGCCAGATACCTGAACCTGTACATATTCATATACCGCTCTGCACCGTGACCGAATCGAGCTGCGGCAACTCAGGGCAAGAGGAGAGCGACGTATGCAGGGCCTTGGCTCAGGCGAGGCTGCGAGCTTGGTTTGAGGCACCGAGCTTCGATTCTTTTTTGTGTCAGAGCCATCCGTCGAGGCCAACCAAGGGTTACCTTACCGATGGGAGCTGGCGCGAATCCACACCGCGACCCTTGGCCTTGGCAAAGGGTGCTTGAAGTGACAAAGGATCTAGTTTGTGAGTAGTGGAAGGTTTTTTCAATGATTCTTACTTGGAAGTAGCTGACAGCTGGATGATTTGAACGTTTGACGCATGGCGTGCCACGCATGGTGTCGGGTTTGCAGATGGCCGTGATCCAACTTTGAAAGCTTCCTGAGGCCCATCACATCAGCCTTCCACAGCAAGAAGATTGGGAAATTTGGGAAGAACATGCCCCCTGCGGACTGGGAGAATGAGCCCGAGCCATCCCATGAGCCATCTCCCTCGTTGGATTCGGCTTGCCCCTCCACCTTTGGCCGGAAGGACCAGGACGGAACCTGAGGGGGGCAGGAGTGAACAGGCTGCAGTAGGTCAGTAGGTAAGAATGCCAGCGAAGCCTCGTGGAATTGCCGGGGCTGTAGACTTGAGCAATTCGTTGGATCTTTGCAAGTTGGTGGCCTTTGGAACTCCCAAATCACGAAGGGTTGCCTCAGCAACCTTGAGTTCAATTGGCCTCATCTTAGGGCCTGAATCTTCTCCCTGGACCCCCCCTTTGCTCAAGTCTTCCCAACTTGTTCCGGGACGACCCGGACCGCGCCGTCTTCGCCACTTCGCTGCGAGGTGCGAAGACCCAAGGGGATGATTGGTCCGAGGGCGGCGTCGAAGCTTCCACTTGAGGCTGATCCAGAGATGGCCATGGGGGTGGGGCACTGTCCAAATTTTTGCTAGGGGGACACTGGACACTGAACATCTGTAACATCTGTAGATGACCATGAAGATGGTGCGGAATTGGAGTGCCACTTGGCAACGCTGTCAGATCTCTCAGCTGAGAGTTCGAGTTTTCAGCGGTCCCGCTCGAGCCGTTTTTTGGACCCCACTGCCGCTCCACCCTCTCAAGGCCTTCAGCAAAGCTCCGCGAAACGGATCGGACATGCAGGAGACTGAGGGAGTCACGAAGACAGATGCAACGGTCGAGACGTACTGGTCGTGTTTGGAAAAGGGATTGAAAGAGAAGGCCATGAACATGGCAATGGGCTTCCTAGCTTGCTTGATGCCCAGAAGTTTTAGACATCCGCCTACAACTTATTCTTGTATGGCTGACAGGGCAGCTGCAACCAGTCTAAGTCTTGCACAACGTGGGTGTCATGTGGGGTTCTCCAATTTGCGGCAACTCATTGTGGAGATTTGTGGAGCCTTGCGCATGAGCCAAGCCTCCACATCTTCCATATCAAGCTATTTTGAGAGCTGGGCCGTCAACGGTTTCTACTGGTACTTGGAGACTTGGAGGGCTCATCTGGTGCCAGGATGGAAACGGCTCCAAAGTGCCAGACGAGGCGCTGCTGGACATGAGAAGACGCTCCAAACTGCATTGAGTGTAGCATTGCAGCTGAGTCTTTGGTTACTTTGGTTGGAGAGGGCACCACTCTGCGGCAAGCTGCTACTAGAGTACTATAGAGCAACAGGCATCACGCGACGGTCATCGTTTTTCAAACTGCCACCTGGGCCCAGCGGAAACAGTTGGATGAATGATGAATGAAAGCACTTTTGGCGCGAATAGGAGGCCGAGACTTCAGGACACTATTAAAAACGACTCTAGTTGCTGGGTGATCCAACTCTTCCAGGCGGGCTCTCTTGATCAAACGAGTAGGCACCTGTTCATCCAATGTATTATTTCTTGGATTGTCATGGACTACGAACAGAGTTTTCGGCAAGTGCAAGAGGAAAACAGAGGATTGTCATGGAGCCATGGCTGTTAGAAAACCAGGGGTACCACCCGTGCGGACACTTATACAAAGCGGCCGTGTCCTTGCCAGTACCAGGCCAACAGTCTGCTGAAGGAAGGGGCGTTTCCTGGCTCTTGGGCCCTACATTTCTCTTCACCTTGAGAAATCCTCATCTGGGTCACATCTCACTTTCCCGCCCCCGGTTCAGGAGCACGCTACTAGTAGCAAAGGGCTATTAGGGTCTCCTGGCATCGCTACTAGGGATCGGACGCTACTAGTGTTCCTGAACTTCCATCACCCAGCTCTGCAGGGCCCCATCTCGGAGGGACTCCACAAGCACAAGAGCCCCAAGGGCGGCACTGGCAGCAGCGCAGATCCTCCATCGCCTGAGCAGCCGGAGGGCCCTCCGCTCAAGGCTGCGAAGAAGGACCGGGAAGTGGAGCCTGCCACTTGAGGCCACTTCACGTTAAGCAACGTTCTTTGGGACGAGCGCAGCAAAGTTCAGAAACTGGCCCGGGTTCAGATAGTAAGCCAAGGTTCATAAATGGGTTTTGTTGAGTTCAGCAACTGCTTTGGTCGGGTTCAGGAGCTGGTTTTCTGGGCTCAGAAGCTATTTTGGTCGGTTTCAGAAACAAAATCACAGGGTTCAGAAACCAACCACATCAGGTTCAGAAACTATTTGTTGGCAGGGGGATTGGGGTGGTGGTGGGGGCTATTGATGTGACATTCATGTGAGCAACTGTTTATGCATGTCGAAACGCTGTATGCATAGCACACTGCTAGTTTCCGAACGCAACATTCAAGCCTCCGAAACCCGCGTGGAACCCGTCTAACCCGTCTCCAGTTTCCGAACCCTTCGTTTCCAGTTTCTGAACCTGAGCTTCATGACCGAACGTTTTTGTGGGACAGTCAGACCCCTTATTGGCCAGGCAGTGCAAAGGAAAAACACAGGGGTTGTTGACGGTGGCCACCGCAATCACAGCCCAATGAGGGAAACGGGATCTTCAGTTGAAGAAAGCTGAAGAAAGTCATGTTCAGAACTACCCTGTGCAAACTTTGGAACTGAGCTCAGAAGTGAGCTCAGTGGGTCGCAAAGTTCAGCTCGTGGAGTTTTCAAGGTTCAGCTCGTTTGGCTTTTGCTTTAGAATAGGGCTGGCTCTCACACCGATGGGTTATGTGATTGCCCGGAGTTTTTGGGAGGCTCTCCCATAACAAAACAACTTTTTGATCCGACGTATGACACATCACTCCTTTTGTTGTCAGGACGTAAGCTCGAAGCCTGGGAAAGGGAGCAAAGACGCAATGCCTGAGACCGAGGGCGATGGCGGAGTTGGAAGCGAGCTTTGGCTGAGGCAGAGTGGGTTGGCTGGAGTTAGTTTAGAGGACTTACTTGGTTGACTTACCAGGATCCAGGTGTGCTCTTATCACAATGGTGGGTTCTGGAGGCCTTTGGAGAAATAGAACGTGACTCTATGTATAAAGGATTATACATGAATGCTGAATACTGAATGCTAGTGATATGCACTGTTGTATTGTGGGCTAAGGGCTATGATGGATCATAGATGATTTGGTATTTCTTTCATTTCGTCATCATGGAATCCAGCACGGTCGCACACCGTTTTGAGAGGATGTGTGTTCGAAGGAGGCCGTAGTATATTTTTGCACGCAAAACTACAGCCGCAGACACATCGCTTGTCCAAATGTTTTTGCAGATCTGTTCTCCACCCTAAGGAGTGGCCCTAGTTCTAATTCGATTCTGTTAGAAGACCTTATGCCCTGATCCTCCATTCTTGTGTTTGTTTCACTCCTGCCTGCAGAGGTCACCAAGGTCGCGGTGTTGCAATGACGATGCTGTGACAACGGTGAGCATGGTGGAAACGGGTACCAACTTCATGCCTCGATGAAATGAAGTCAATGATGTTGATAACAACGGATTCATAGCCTGACCTTTTAATCATAGGCGTTGCTCCGGGGATGCACAATCTCCAGCATTTTCCGGTACTCGTGCTCAGCGAGCCCCATAGACTCCAAGACGGTCCAGGGCCGGTGGTGTGACACCAAGGCGGAGATGAACCACTTGGAGTCTCAGAGATGCAATCAAGATAATCAAGGGCTGTGGTGGACTGCAGTTCTTCCCGACCCCGGCTTTCGAAAGCCTTTCGGCGTCGTTTCTCCTTTCTTTGCCAGGGTCGAGTTAATTCGTCCATCGTTTAGAGTATCACGCCAACCGCTTCGTTTCTCCCTTTTGTAGGACTGTAGGAGTCGCATGGAGCTTCTGTGAGATGGGTCCACATCTGCGGAGAATGGGCAGCTACCTCGGTTGATGGGGTAAAAGTCCAAACACTGTCAGACGGTTACGTCCCTGGAGTGGACAAAATCGCGGCGTCGTGGAGCAATGGAACTGCTCTAGGGTCCTTTCAACAAAAAGGTTACATTCCGATCCAAAAGGATCCCTGTGACTCCAAGGGTTACACACACACACTCACACACGCAAGTTGAGGATGTTTGAGACATTCAACGACTTCAACCTCCTGAAATTTTCGACTCCAAAGCCATAACCAGTCCCAGAACCAGTCCAAGGCATTGCTGGCCGCATTTGGGACCGACGCGCCCAGGAGAGCCTCATCTCACAGCTGACGGAAGAGCAGCAGGAGCAGATCAACGAGGAGTTTGGCTCGGAGGACGGGCCATTTCGGGCGAGAGCGATGGCGCCAGATGTTCTTCGATTCTCAAAGAGTGGTCGGTTCGGTTCTGAATATGATTGAACAAGTGATTGAACATTGATGAAGTGAAAGAACCCCGGTCCCAGCTTTTAAACGTGGCATGCCTTTCAGTTCGGAATGACTACTCGCATTGTGGACTATGCGGATTTAGGATAAGCGGGTTAGAACCTAGAAGCCACCTACTTGCTACCTACTACCTACAACCTACTACTGCTACTACAACTGCTGCTGCTGCTGCTGCACTACGGCAACCTACTTCTGCCACTCCTACTGCTACTACTCCGACTACTCCATCCTACTCCTACTCCTCCTGCTGCGGATTCTCGCTTTTCACTTTTTCATTCTTTGTTCTTGACATATCTCGATAATTATTCGGTTCTGGGCCCATTCCGTATTATTGTGTTGGGATTCTCGATTGCCGATTCTGGATTTTCGGTTCTTTAGGTCCCGGTTTTTATTTTTGATTATCGGTTTTCCGTTTTCAATTCTTCGATTCGCACCCGGTGACTGGAACACCCTATATAGTCAGGCCAGCCGGGAAGAGGAACATGTTCATTCGGATTTGGTCCGACCGCTTGCGGCCGGGTGCAGCTGGGGGGTATGGCGTATGGCCTGCAACCGCCCCGGGAGGACATGGTGATCGACATCGACGGGATGCTGCCCGAGCGACGTGAGGAGCTGCATCAGCGCATGGAGGAGATGTTGGGGATTCCTCAAAGAGACAGGCGTGTCCGGCGAGCAATTGCCATGATGCGAGATGCATGCTGTTCAGGTAGACCAGGGCTCCAAGGCAGCAAAGCCGTAGAAAGGGCCCAACATCCACGGAATGCGAAGTGGTGGTGATGATTTCCCGCGCTCAAAAATACCTACTCGCTGTCAAATCCCCACGGGTGCCCGCATGTACTGATGCCAGGAATCAGCGTGAACACACTTCGCCGCCTTCTCCTCCAGGGAGTTGATAGCACCTCGGCCAAACGGCATCCGAGACCACGGTCCAGCAAAGAGAGGCTGCCTGCGGTGTTGTAGACATCGTAGGCATTTCATCAAACCCGTGAAGAGGTGAACGCTTTTACAAAGTCTTTGGATGATGGAACTGAGTGCGTGGGATATTTGGCTGGCCCAAGGTAGTGACACGAGGCCTCTCCAGCAGGTGCCGTGCTGAAATTGGCAGGCGCCAACCTGGAACTTTGAAGTGCAGTGATTGTGAGCGGCCTGATTGGTGGCAGAATGTTCCAGGAACGCTTTGCCCCCAGGCTACGCCAAGATGACTACGGCCTACGCAGCTGACAACGCAGCAAGATTAAATTCTTTCACAAGTGGCTGACACGCTGTGCAAGAACCCAGCCACTGTGATAACATGTTTGGTAGAACCCAGCCCCCCCCCCGCACCGGAGAAAGGAAGTCTGGCCGTAGGTTGCAACCAAAGGAACGGAAAGGAGGAGAGCCTCTGCACAAATGTGTTGGAGAAACGATAGTATTGGTCGACACGTGCCAAGTGTGCGCGATGTCATGCGATGTTTGTTCGCCCATGGGCCTGTCTGTTTGCACCACGTCATGGCCCTCCCCCTTCCGGTCAATTCGGGTGAGATCGTAGGCGTTGCGGAAGAAGCGCAAACAGATGCAAAAAGATGCGGGGAGACTGGGAGGTCGAGAAAGGGGCTTCAAACGCAAATATCAGGTAAGGTAAGGCATGTACATTTATTTCAAGATGTTACTGTAATCGTGTTATTGAGTGAGGGAGCGGAGATGAGTGGAGGGCAGTGGATAGGCAGATAGGAGGCACTGGGCATACTGTGACTACATGGAGGCTCCAGGAGGTAGAATTACTGTAATCATGAGGTGGACCAAGTTGAAGCCACCTCCGGAGGTCAAGTGCTACAGAATTGTGCCCTGTGGAGTTTTTGGATATGGAGGTTGTCATGCCCATCCATAAGAGTACAGTCTGAGTCAATACTGAGCACACCACTAATGCGCACCTAGGATTAAGTAACCACCCCCTATTAATCAATCCCAGCTGCCCCAGAAACATATAGTTTACTATTGTATTTATAATTATCTATTATTTACTTTCTTCATGTTCTTTTGCACATGCTTCTTTACCTTCTTGTCCAACTCATATTTATATTCTTTACCTTCTTCATGAACTCCTCATAGTTCTCATTTTCTTAGAGGCTGGTGTCTTCATCTCCTCATCCTCCTGATTCTCACCAATCCTTTTGATGGCTTCTCCTAAGGGCTTATGCTACCACCATCCCCAAAAAATCTCTGGCAAAATTCTTTCATTTCACCCTTTTGTAAATCTTTTTCAAGCTCACAAAGGGCACCCCTCACACAGGCCCTACCCCTAGTAAGACCCCCTTCCCTATTAATCAATCCCACCCTCTGCCCTCATTCTTGTCTTCCAATGCTTTCATCCTGCATCCTCTTCCAATTCTTCCCAATAAAGAGAGCATCACCAAACCATGGTTTAGCCGCAGTTTCCTTCTCATCCAAATCTTCCCAACCAAACCATCATCCATCATCACATCCAGGTCCTCATCTCATCATCCATCATCAGGTCATCACCTTTATTAGGGGGATGTGGCTCCCCAATACCCTAAATCTCAGACCTTGTTGACCTTGAAGGGGGGGGTCCCCGTTGATTAATCCATATTAATCCTACGTGTGCATTATTCTGTTTTTGCCGCATCTCGTGGCTCTGCCCTGGCCGAGCTGACCCAGAAGCGCCCGGACCTCCCGTGGCGCCCCTGGCGTCAGACGGTTGTCCCGGGGAACCACCCGGGAGCCATGGACAGGCGCCCGTGGATGGCCAAAGCGGTGCGTTCGGCGGGGTGGAACAGCTACCCGTGATCCCTAGCTAACCTCCAAGGGGGCGTGCGATTGGAACGAAGAGCCACAAACGTGCGGAAGAACAGAAGAGCACGCAACAACCGCAAATAAATTTCAAGAAGGAGCAAGAAGGAAACCAAATTAGCAACATAGAAGCAAACAAAGAAGAAAAAGAGGGAGCCGCTGCCTGCAACTCTTGATGGATCCATAGGGTTCGTGGCCCAGGCAGAGGGCAGGGCGAAACATTGAGATTTGTTGCAATCGCATTTCCGAAGCTCCCCAACTTCATCCCCTTACTCTTGAGGGTGAGATTGAGTTGGTCTCCCTGGGCTATGGTGACCGCCAGGTGTGGCCGGTAGCTGCAGATGTTCCGCGAGTGGCCAGCAGCCAGCTGAGAAGGGACACGGGCCTGCTGACCTGAAGCGGTGCAATGAAGTGCTGGGAATTCGTTGAAGGAGAGACCTGGGGCACCCTCGCCATGAGACTTGGGTCGCCTGGGCTCATTTGGTGATGTGGCTGACGAGGCGACTGGCCGGGCGGTGGTGCCACTGCCCAGCTTGGAGCAGGATGCTGTGTACCAAGAGGTCCGATGCGGGATCAATGTGTGGGCGGAAGGGGGGTGTTCTTTGGGTACGTGTCTCCAAGCCGTGGTTTTCTGTTCTGGTTCATTGATGTGAAAGAGAAACACGCGCACATAGCTTTCAGGGCCCTGAACCGCTTGGGGGGTCAGTTGTGCACATGGTGGAAGTGGCGCCCGCGGATCTCCAAAGCTTAACATCAATCCTTGGAAACCTGGGTTTGTTTGTCCATGTATATGCATATTAGGCGCGGTCAACATTTACAGAAGACTACACCACTACAGAGAGGGACATGGGATCTCCAGCAGGTTCCAGCTGAAAACGATAACACACTCACCAAATCCCAACGTCCTTTGATTCTACTGTAGTAACTAGTAGTATATAAATTTTGACCGTGGCTCTTGATATATATATATATTATACAGATATATACATAATTATACATATAGGTACAGAAATATACATTATATATATAGTTAATTTAGCAAAGCTTACACAAGCGGGAACTCTGTGCGCGAGTAATTCTGTTGTTAGGGTGGCCGGTGCTTGGCTGTACCCATGCAAAAGTGTCGCTTTTGGGCATGCTTCCCCGAGGATGGAATGCTCAGGTATAGGTTCCAAACTAAGTATGTATATATATAGGCAGTTTTTGCATGTTTTTGCTAAAAATATGTTCACATCGTTTTGTTGGTTGAGTGTGTGTGAATCCGCACTACCGATATTGTCCGGGGCGAACAGCCGTTTAACGGGCTTTTCGGGCGGAAGCATTTCGGGTTCAAGCTTCAATCCAGGCCTTGTGTGTCAAGGCCAGGCCAGACCACCATTCCGAATGCTGGACTGTCCAACATGCCTAGCTGCCTAGCTGAGACTCATGAATCGACCCAGGACTCCTGATGAATCCCATCGAGGAAATTCCGCCTCGTCCAACCCCTTCTGCTGGGTGGGCAGAGGAACTGGTGGACGAGATAGAGTGACCCATCGTTTTCGGGCACGCCTACTTTGGCAAAGCCTAGGTCAAAAAGGAAGCATTTGATGTCCTGTCACGTTCAGAAAGTGAAGTCCTTAGGCTTGATGTGCAGGCTATTCGCCTCAGAACGGGCGAGCTATCAAGTAACTATTCGAGCTATTGATTTGAATGTGATTTGATTGCCGGTGAGTTGCAAGACGCGGGGTTTCATGCGGCTATGGAAGCACACAAATGACCCTCAAACACATGTCACAGAATGCAACAACTTTGGACATTTTTCAGTCTACTTCCAACCAGCAGGTAGTAGAAACCTTTGGCCATGCCATGCCGCTTGCTGGCCGCATGCCTGGCATGGCAAAGCCTGGCGTTGGAGCTCACCAAAGACTCATGGGAGGCTGGTTGTGGGCAAGGAACTCCTGAAGATACCGGCTGCTGCGAGCTGCTCCTGAGTTCCTTTATTTGGAACATCCTCCTTGCAACATTTTTTGACAGATCAATTCAATAGACCTTCATTAGAAACTATATACAGGCTGATGCTAGACTTCCTCACAGGTAGCGGAGAGTGTATTCTACTGGCCCCCATGCCCGTTGGCTCGTGCCTTGCACACCCAAGAGCCCAGTTTTTTTTTGTCTTCCCACCTCTGTCATATTGGCCGGTAGGAGATGACCAACAGAAAGCGGGTCTTTGTGAAGTTCTTCGCCCCTTGGTGTGGCCACTGCAAGAGGCTAAAGCCAGCCTGGGAGAAGCTTATGCAGGAGGGGGTGCGCGTGCCGATGGTAGAAACAGCTCTTCAGCAAGTGGCCGCTCACCTTGACCAGAAACAGCGGCTGCACCGTCGAACGCTGAAGCTCCGCCCTCCGCAGGAGTATGCCGAGCATGACAGCATCCTCGTGGCGGAAGTGGATTGCACTGGCGCTGGCAAATCCAAGTGTGATGATGCGGGGGTTGAAGGTTTCCCTACCCTCAAGAGACTTGATGGCAGTGGGCAGGACATTTTTAGCCGATCTTTTCAGGCAGAATGCCATCCCTCCCCAAGCACCTGCCGGACTTGTAGAGCTGCCACTTGAGTAGCCGCCACTTCTGAGATGTTCGCAGTGCCGGTCTGCCTGCTGCGCTGAGGTATGGAAATCCTGACAGCCTCGAGGCTCTTAGGGATGGGATGACTTGTCCATCTCAGGATCTTCAAAGCACACCTGGCCATTCCGCCGAGTCAATGACCCCAGCCATTGACAGTGCGATTTTATGAAGGGATCCGACCAAGAAACCACAGACGTTGGGTCATTCAGGGTGAGGAGATCTTGGATGTTGTGGATGTTGTTGGGGTCTCAAAGGGACAATATCTGCATGCGATAGCTTGCGTCGATTCATAAAGGTTCACGGTTCAATCCTCCAGGTGGTTCTTTTTCCAATAATGCGGTCCCGAAATCAGGACTACAAGGGTGCCCGCGACTACGAAGCCCTGAACAACTTCACCAAGGCCGGCCGCACTCAGCATCGTTCACGCATTCAGCATCATTCAACTGATTCCTGAACACAACAGTTGTCCTACACCATGAGACTCCTTAGGGATTTGGCCTTGGATCCTCAAGGCCTAAAAGGATGGCTCGGTAGGCATCCCTGATCACCAATAAGCATACCGAGCAGGGTCTCACGGGAACCTGCTTCGACTCTTACATTTCAGGGGGCTTCGACTACTACCCCATCCAACAGACTCTGAACATTCGACTCTTCGATGGCCAAATCGAACGACCGCCCGCCCGCAGTGGTTTTTCAGGTGAACCTGGGCCCCTCCTGTGGCCCAGAGCGGCTGGAGCTCTGTGAGCTGATCGCAAGTCAGAAATTACCCTGTCACAGACGCGGAGTGTTGGGTGATGTGCTGAGGGGCTGCCCTCAAATCTGCAGGTTCTGGTTGTGAAGTTCCGCGGTTATGAGTGCTTGATCGAAAGTCAGTGCGGTATATTACAAAAATTATTACTATCTATTACTATAATAGTCCCTCTCTCTCTCTCTCTCTACACACCCATAATCATATTACACATATATTGCGTGCAACATGCGGAATTCTCGTGCGACTCTCGGCGCATGGTTTGACCACCCCCTGGGCTATGCAGTTCTCATGGACCGTCCAAGCCTCACAACCAATGACTATCTGGTTTGACTCAACTTGGGGGGTTGTCAACTGCGTTTCTTTAATTCAGGTGTCATTTCTGAGACATCTTCATGAACATTAGGGAACCCAAATTGGCAGTCTTCCTGTCGCACCGCAGGAAGAACATTTGGCATGAGTTGGTGTACAGGAACAATGTTTCTCCCGCATCCTCACCTGTGCTCCTCACCCTCATCCAACTGCAAGAGAGAATGGCAAAATCTGAGGGTCTTTCTGGACGTCCCAGGCGACGAGATGCGCCGGAAGCAGATCGAGGAGTTGTTGGCCTTGCCCATGAGCTGCTGGGCGATCAGATTGCTCCTAGTAGCGATGCCCTTTGTTACTAAGTAATAGCGATGCCAGGAGCTACTAGTAGCATCCTTGCTACTAGTAGCTTTTTTGCAGGACCTTGTGGCGACAACCTTTGGCTCTGGTAGACTCCGTAGAACGAATGAACAGATTGCTGATCGCCAAGGGTTTGCAAACTCACCCACAGCTGGCGCCTTTTTTCTCACCGATTTTGGGCACCGTGGGAAGAATTTCCGAGAATTCCCCTTCAGTTGGACGCCTGTACGACCATGGGAGCTGATAGACCATGCAAAGGTGAGTTGAAGTACAAGATCAAGAGGAAGGAGGATCAGATCGCGGCGGCCGAGAAGGAGCTCAAAGCACCTGAGCTGCTATGGAAAGAAATAGCCTGCTACCCACACTGAAGGAAACCCCATTCAACATCGAACTCCAAGGGTAAGGCGAGTTATAACAGTCAATGACTCCGAGTTCCAGTATGCTCGAACAATTTGTCATCTACCATGTGGTGGTTCTATTTGGTCGGGACTGGTGGGTGAAGAGGTGCTGTTACAGGAGTCTTAGGGCGCCACGAATGAGCAGTGCTTTGAGACTCTTGGAGAGGGTGCGGTCTTGGCGGTGACTGTGAGGGTCAACGGACTACCACTTTGTAGGTCCATGTGTCGCGTTGCAATTGCTTTTGCTCTTGGTTGGGGCTTGCAGTCTAGGAGCTAGGGTGTTGCCGAAATCCGAGGGCTTTATTGCAAAGCTGGAGAAGAAGTACGATGAGGCTGTCCAGGTACAGGAGCTGGCCTATGCGGTTCACGTGAAGTGCCGAATCGTGTCCATCACTATGCTGTCCTGCACTGTCTCGGGATTGGACATGGGTTGGATCAGACTGTGTCCTTCGATTGCGGGAGCTTGGCCCATGGCCTCAGCTCCGAATGGCTGTTGTTTGGCATTGCGGGGGCACTGGGTACTGGCTGCATTTCACAAAGGGTTGGGAAGAGCTGAGCTCATGCGGCAGCCTCATAACGCCCATTCCCACGGGCCACAGGACATCTATTCCCCCTAAAGAAGTTGAAGAGGTGGATGTTGAATGATGTTCTCCCTGTCATGAGTTCTGGGCTCTTTTTCATCCCATGTCAGGAGAAGAAGCAAAAGGCCATCAAACAGGGTGGGCTCAACATCATGAAGGCCGTGCAGGCAAGCTGGCACCTCTCGCAACAGAGCTGGCGGGGTTTTGAGGACCTTCACCTCAAACCTGGCCAGTCATTCCACGTGCTCCCAGGCCTACAACCGCCGGGCAAAGCCGAAGAAACCGGAGCGAAGCCGAGGGACTTCTTCGGCACACAGCCGCGATGAAGCCGAGTTGTAGCCCCAGTGGCTGAGCTTTTCGGCTCAAAAAATTCAAAGTGCCAGGTGTGCACACAGCGGAGGCTGGAAGATGGATTTTAAAAAAGCAAACAAACAAACATTTTTCACTGTTTTCACTAGCAAATGTGTTTCTTGGCTTTGGTGAATTCTGGTGAGCCGTGGGCCGGCGCTGCGTTGCTGCTTGGGGCGCTCAAGACAATGAGGAACGAGAACCATCCGCTGTGTGGACGAGACACGGGCACCCAGCCTTTGGCCTCTGTGACATGTGACATGCCATTTGTCAAAGACTCCTACCACCAGAGGTTCTTGTTCCCAGTGTCTTGACTGTACAAAGAGGAGAGTTAGCGAGAGTGCACTTGTTCAACTGAGATACATGTCACCAGAAAAGCTGCTGATCGCAGTGAGAGGCGATCGCCGCCTTCACTAGCTCTTCACTTTGACTAGTGCGCTGTGCAGCCCATTTAAGATCAAAAAAATCAAAGGACCATGTCTAACATGTCATGTTTGGACCACATGGCGTAGTTGGCAGGCCAGCTTCAAGCCTGTACACTGGCACGGTGCACAGCCCATGCTCTTCTTTCCATCGGCAAATCCTTCCGCTGGGTCTCCATCAAGGTACCGCGTCCTGTCAACGCATTCCATAGTGAACGGATGAGAATAGCCTGGTGTTCCTGTCAATTCATAATTCAATTGGTAATTGCTCTTTAATTGGTGATTCTCACGAAGTGAACTTGACAACCTCCCTTATGTGTAGTGATAAGATAAGATGTTACATCCCCGTAAAGCCCTATGTCAACTAAGGACGGACAGGCCTTGCTGGTAGGCATTTGCTCTCCACCAGCCCTCCCCACCTTGCACGACTTATTCAGACTTGAGGATGCCTTGGTTCCACCAAGCCGCATGTTAATCAAGCGAGCATGGTGAGCTGGCGTACGGCGTAGCTTACCTCCAGATCTGACCCATACCTCGTTGAATCTGCCATGAAGCCTGTGCTGCGACTGGCGCTTCTGATGAGGGTCTCCTGGGCAGTTGAGCTCACACAGGAGAATTGGGACGATGCTTGGCAGGGGGTGCAGCGTCCGTGCAGAGCGGGACGGGAGGCAACCATGGCCTGGCCAGGGAGTTGGGGCGGGTTGAGGGCTGGGCCTTAGTTACTTTGCACTCTTGAAGGTTCACAGTGGCTGGGATGACTGACAAGGGAAAAGTATTGCAGTTTTGAAGGTTGAAGTCAATCTGGCAATCCGGGGCTAATTGGGCCAATCCAAGCCTTGACCGATCAGGAACAGACGGCCGGGAAGACGGTCTTTGTGAAGTTCTTTGCTCCATGGTGTGGCCACTGCAAGACGCGTGATGAAGTCAAACAAGTTCTTGATGCGTTTGTTTCTTTTTCCCTCATGGAGGTTGAAGCATCGCACAACAGTTTGGCATGCCGTGAAAAATCGTGGCCAGAACAGCTTTGGCATATTGCATTATTTATATATAGGTATCTATCCTTTATCTACATATTTACATGTACAGTAAATAGCTTCTCCAAGGATGGCGGTCAAGAATCATTTCCTCACAACCATGTCCACCATCGTCCTTTCTTTCTCCTCAGTCCTCTCCATGTTTTGCCAGAGAGCTCTTCTGCCTCACTAAGATCAATGAAGCCAGCCTGGGACCAGCTCATGAGTGAGTACCAGGACAGCCCTTCGATTCTGGTGGCTGATGTCGACTGTATCGGCGCGGGGAAGTCCAAGTGTGATGATGTGGGCGTCAAGGGCTTTCCCACCATCAAGTAGCCTGGTAGCCGGCAGTTGCAGGGGTGAGTGAAGGAGAACATCAACAGAGTTGAAGGATATTGATTCTACAAACCAGACATACGACCCGTTTCTCCGGGCTTTTTGTGCACAGCCTTTGGTGTTTCACTACATGCAAGCCAAGCTCCTGCACTCCGCCGGTCTTGTTCTTGTGGGACCCAGGCATGGCGACCCTCATGATCTGTCGGATTACAAGGGCGGCCGCGACTATGAGGCCCTGAGAGCCTTCGTGGAGGAGATGTCGGATCGGGGGGTGATCAACATCTCAAGGATCTTACTCCAACTTACTAGCAATGGCTCCAACTTACTAGCAATGGCTCCAAC